TCCCTATATGTCTAGATTTGCCTGGACGCTGCCTTTAAGAAAATCGTCATAATCAGTTTACCGTATCGCCGAATAAACAGTATCTTGGCGAACGGATTCCGATCACTCCAGCTGCGATTGGCCCACAGTGGAAACCTATACGTACGCGAACCTTGAAGTCTGGGCAGTGCGTTACAACATAAGTGTAGGATTCCTAGAGAGAACGTATGATTTCTCATATGATGCAATTGGATCTAACCTCTCTGATGTCCAAGCTGCATTCGGCAATTTCGACAATATGTCGACCATCGTTTTCGTTTGGCACTCCTGACGCTACCATGTATGTCTCTCCGGTAGTTTCAACTTTGTAAGCGTCGTGCTTCTTGATGATGCTGTCAAAGCGGTCAAAAATGTCGTTAAGGAAGCTTATGACCTATAATAACCAGACATTCGTGTCAAGTCACTATCAAGCTTGCATAAATGAGAAATTCAGATGTTTTGTCCAGGAATGTGCCTAATGAAAACTTGAGAGTTACAGATGTATAAAGCTCTTCTTATCATACCTCGTCGGATCTACTTTTTCTGACGAGGGCTGGAAAGTCGCACAGCTGAACAAAGCATACTGTAGCCGCATCATAGCTTCGTGGAGGTATACTACCTCCCTCCTTGAGGATTTGAGCAATGGATCTAAGATATTGATTTTCAGTTTCATGAAAGCTTTAAAACCAAAAAGGGTCTGAATTCACGGTTTAGTAGATTTTTCTCAACATAGCGTGCCTGTGGTATCGAGATTTCGCGGTCAGATTTATGCATGAAAAAACCACGCCAGAAATCCAGCATTCTGTAGGCGCAATTGTCCGGTCCTAAAGACGTTTTGGTTCATGCCCAAATTTGGCTCCACAATCTCGGTACTGCAAGCACACAATATTAAATGGAAATTCTACATTATTGTAGGCAATTCCGCTATAGATTTCAACGGCAGCGCTATTGATCTTATGTCCTTACGTTAGATGAATTTAGATACCATCCCATATAGTGCTGAAATGGCCCCTTTTCGAGTAGAGTCGAGCTAGATTGCAAGAATATTATCGAAATTTCAGGAATCTAGATATGATTCATGGTACATTATGCATCGAAATTGCAACTCAAACTAGTATAAGCTGTTCAAGCTAGTATAAATCAGCGACAAATGTTAGATGTCACAGTTTGTTACAAGATTTTCAAACTTACGCAGGTAGCATTTCGTTGAGAAGTCTGTTTGTCTGTTCTTGAGCCTCCTGTAGCATGGCATTCCTCTCAGCAACTATTTGCTCCAAGTTTTGTGCATATTTCTCGTTCATTCGTAACATCTGGTCAACCAGATTTCCCTTCCTAAATACTCAAAGTTGACCTGTTTTCCAAATGCAGTTTGCGTCTTACGATGCACTGAAGGCTTTATTTACAGCTGTGAAGACGTTGCGGAGGCTTGGCCGGGATTCGGAAGCTGTAGCGTAACATTCTTTCATCAAGCGAGTAAGTGCCTAGAGAAGACAGTCACTTTTGTTACCTACATCATATTTAGTGCT